TTAACGCGCAAATAATAATATTATCCATCGACGATGCAATCGGAGAATGAAGGTTAAAGAGATTAAAGTATGTGATATTGGATGGAGGAACCGCGCGCGTACGATTACATGGACAGTGTAACTCGTAACAATAGCCGGAGTGGCTAAACGTGATACGTGATAAAATCCTCTTTGTTTAATATTGTTTAAATCCTCTCAGCTAATCATATCTTTTTATTTTTTTTCCACGATTTCTCAGTTAAATAATCTCATAAATTTCATTTCCTCCAAATACACAACAAAAAAAGAATTATTCGAGCAAGTCTCATCGTTTCGGGAACTGACAACTTGTTGAAACAATGCGTTCATTAAAAATAGTGAAATTTTATTTATTCGCGCGTCGAGTTGACACCAAATGTGGTTCCTTCCGTTTCTCAGGCCGATTCCGAGGACACCTCTCTTTTCACTCTAGTATCATGCACGTTTATGAGGCACGTTAGAGAGTGAAAGCCAACGACCTGACGCAATACTCATGCACGCATATACGATGTATTACCGTGGCAATTTCTCGCGGGTCCCTAACATCGTACTGTCATAAAGGTATCCACAGTGGTTCCGCGATACAAACGAAACATTTCTCGTCGCGCGGCTGCGGACCTTTTATTCGCGGCTCCGTAAGCCTGAGCCACGTAATAATGCTAGACTCGATTACAAAATGTCGATCCAGTACAACATCGAGTCGCATGAAAGGCGAGTGAAACACGATCAAGCACAGAAGGGGATAATTAGTCGAATCAAATCAGTTGGTGTTGGTTTCGATATATTTTTGATTATATAGGCACACAATATTACACTTTCATATTATTGTGTCATGTAATGCATAGAATTCATCGGGATATAGAAGTATGCAATTGATTATTGTTGCTTCATTCTCGCCTATTCTAATCTTTTACTCAAACATCTAATCGTGTGCATATAAAAGATAAATTGTACATCAATAGACTTTACGTTCTTCGAGTTAAAAAAACAAATTTAAACTTTATATTTTAAATTTTCGCTCAATTTAGTTTGAAGTTATTATATAAATCTCTGTTTTTAAATATGTATGTCTTAATGTACTCTCTTATTATATTTACATTTTTCAAGTTAAAAAATAAATTCAAAATTTATATTTTAAATTTTTATTCATTTCTCTGCTCAATTTGAAATTATCACGTTTCTGATTTTAAGAATAAATAACGTTATGTAAAATCCTACAATCGCGATAGAAATTTCTCCGCTGATTTAATAATTTGTAACGTTTCTAATACTTTCAAAATTGCTAGGTTTGTCTACTCCGTCTTTGAACGACACAAACATATTGCTCGCGTCTTAACTGAATAGTTACAATAATTTCAATACTCGATACGGGGACGTCGCGTCAGGAAGTTTTAAACTCAGCCTTTTAAACCTGTTTTACAATGTGCTTTTTATTTCTTGTTTCTTACCTTTTGTTATTTTTTACATCTTGTCTTTTTGCTTCTTATCCGATTTTTTATTTTATATCGCTCGAGATAAAAGTTAACGAACTTCGAAACAAACAAGAAATACGTAGCAAAAAATACAATTGTTGATAAAATGGTTGTAAAAGAGAAAAAAGCAAAAAATAAAAAACAAGAAACAGAAAACAAAGAGCATATTGTAGACTTTACAATGTGGAATTTTGCAAGCTTGCCGCGAGTAGGGTTCACCCGAGTCGACCGTCGGAGAAACTGCAATACACTGTTATCGGCATAGTCGAGTTTATAGGGACAACATTCTATTCACGTCGTAACCGCCACGAACTTTCTATTTGCATTCTCTGTCACAAGTGTGAGAATCGATTCGAGTTTAATGCGTTCCGACTGCTCAACCCGCGGAAATATATGTATATCAAGTCCGGGAAGGAAACGGTGGTAAGTCGTGTATGTCGATGAAATCACGTTTACCATAGTCATTAAAGAAAACCATATAAGGTTTGTCAGACATGTGTTATATCAATATGAGGACTTAATGAATCTATAATTAATTTTTTTTCAATAAAATCTTAACGAGAAATGTTCTACAATTACTAAAAATCAAATATGCTAATAAGGCTCAGTTAATTGAAATTCCAAAGTCTTGAGTACATTTACATTTAATTCTCAAACAAGGCATTTAAAACAAAATTCATTTAAAATTAATCGGAAAATGGTTTCAACAGTTATCGAGAGCTCTGTCAAGTATAATTGACAGCATCGTTACAGTTCGCATTACCATAAAATAAAATGCAATTCGATACACATTTCTGAGGAGATTAACGTATCACCGCAAGGAGATATGTCTTAATAAATGATTTCGTAGTTTAAACGCAATCACGTCGTTGCTATAAAGGGCTCAGTGCGGCGGTTGTCTACTCATACTGTAAATAATACTCGTTAGCGTTAAAATGCATAGCGACTACTTAGCAATTCATACTTACAATTTAATGATAATACGCATAATTAATGATACGACAATTGCGCATAAATCTTCATAAAGAAGAGTCTTACGTTACGTTGTTTTCTTTTTGTATTATTTGTAAGCATAATCGAAAGAAAAATATCATTGCGAAAATGTGTTAACTTGTCACTTTATTTCCCCAATCCTCGCAATGTCATCCACTTTCGCTCGTAGAATATGAATCGCAAAACGAAAATATCAGCACGCACGAATGGAGATTGAAACAGGCGTGTCGAATATTTGTTTGTGATAAAATCGCAGCAAACATTTGTGTGTGTATAACTTGTAACGTAACTGCATATCCGCGTTCTTCCATAAATCTACATTTATTGGAAGAAGAAAACACACGACCGGAGTCTATAATTATCGTACAACATAACGAATTTGATTATTTATAGATCGGCGCGTGTTTTCTTCTTCGAATAAATAGATTTCGCATGTTTTAGCAAATAAAGCATCTATAATAGTTGCATATGAGTTTCACACATTACGAATATTTGTCACGGTTATTTTACAATTCCGATACGTCATATTACATGCAGTATATAATTTGATATAATTTGCATTTTATTATGAAATAAAGAAAGTGTAAGGACATTACTTATTATCTCGCCATTAAAGCCACACTGTTTTACTAAGATTATAAATTAAAGTTTATTAAAGAAATGAGTAGATTCTTACAGATAATAATTACACGAATTCTTTCTCTTTCTCTCTTTCTCTCTAGTTTAATAGAAATTACGAATACCGCATTCCTGCATTTACACGGATGAAATATTATCTCGTACAATTTGATGGCCCAAGGCGTTATTGGCTATACGAATATACAATTTTTACGAGGCGAGAATAACGGGCCACCGCCCGACGGTATGTCATTTTTCACTTCGTGCCACAGTTGAATCACGCGCGGTAGGCGCTTCCGCGAGAAGAAATTGGAAAAGTGGCGGCGTCGTTGTGCACGATGTATATAAACGTTACATCACGAATAGCAGCTACGTGTTATCCACCTGCGGCGTTTTCTCCGCTCCGATTATGAACCACGTGCCACTGTGAAATCGCAATCGGCATGTTTGCTCGTAGACAAGATTACTCTTCAGCGCGCAGTAACATCTAAACGAGTGATCCTATCTAGAGAAGACGGCGCTATTTTGTAAAAATAGCGATATTAATTGCAATTTTCCAAGTCATGCTTCGAGTACATTTCTATTATCGCGTATCATGTTTTGTGTAACTTACTTTTCTATTCCCAGTTCAAAAGAATTGTTCCTGAAAAGGTTGAATAAATCTCATATGTATTAGGTTGCATTTCTTATTCTCGTCACTTTGCGTAATCACATCGATATGCATAATGACCATGTATAATATGTTAGTTTTACTTAAAAGGTAATCCTAATGAAATGTCAATTCCGGCGAAACATTTCGTACGCAGGATCTGAACGCTATCGTAATATAATTATGTTAATAAATTTAAGATTTTTACGAACTCAAATGTATAATAAACGTTTACAACGGAGTATATAATTTAATAAACAAGAATGTAAATTATGCATCGTATATATTTGATTTTGCGGTAAAAGTAGATTGTGAGCGCCTGGGTGAAAGTCATCGAAAATGAAAGGGTTGAGTGAAGTGTTAAATCAAACCACGCCAGACAGCCTGTGAGCATGTTTGCATGTACGTGTGAATGACCGTTGCTAAATAAATATTATCTAAGTTTGAAACGTGCGCGTGGATACAATCACGAAAGTAAATTGGATCGATGATTTATTTTCAACACTATGTCGAGATGTATGATCATGTTCTATTAACTATCTAATGCAATGAAACTGAACTTGTCATTACAATCTATAAGTCTATAAATCGAAGTTTTGTTTGTTTTTATTAATATATTGGTGAACAATTAATCAAGCGAAAAACAGATAATTTATAACAGTATTGGAGACAATTATGTTTATTTTTTAATATTTTTATTTTAACGCTAAATGTTTTTTTGGACTGTAATAACTACTAATAACAAGATGTGCAACCTTGAACTCAGTTTCAGTGGACCACGGTTAAATATTATGGCCACGGTTTATTTACAGTTTTGCGGTTAACGCAAGCCGCAGATCATTAGCGAAAGTTCCACTTGCTTTCTAAACACGCTCTCTATTTTACCGGTAAAAGATGAGCTAGACAATAGCAGCTGTCATTTAACGAACAAACTGCGTATTTCTACAGTACGTTATTTCAGACTTCTAAATAATCCATAAATATCCTTGTAACTATACAAT